TGATATCTTTTCCTCTTATATTTGCCTCCCAACCTTCCCCTCTATTGTGGTTTTTAAGTTTCTATAAATTCTTTGATAAAGCTTCTTCAAAAGTGGAACCTAATTTCCCTTTGGAGACAGGGCACCATGGCTTCCCCTCTCTCTCTCTTCACCTGCTCTGGGAAAAGCCTCTGCTGTGTCCTGGCAGACCCATGGAGACACCCATGTGCAAGGGACGTAGGCTTCTACCCAGCATGTGAGCAAACTTGGGAGTGGATCCTCCAGACCTAGCCAACATTTTGACCAGAGACCCTGAACTAGAACCACCCTTATAGACTGCTCTTAGATTTCTGGTCCTCAAAAACTATAAAAGATAGGCCCTCCCTGGTGGCGCAGCGGGTTGAAGCACAGCACTAAGAAGTCAAAGCCACTTCCGCATGAGTTCGATCCCCGCCTGCCCCGGAGGTGACCACATGGTGTGGCAGACCTCTCCTGACCCGCCCGCTGCTCCCCTCAGCAGTGTACTTCGTTGATCTGCCTGTTCTGCTCCCCACTCTGTCTCTGGTGAATCCTCTCACCCTCCGCATCTCTGGCCTGTACCCCAGTTCTGTGTGAATAAATAAATAAATCTTAAAAAAAAAAGAAAAAAAGAAAAAAAAACTATAAAAGATATTGAATATTTTTACTTGAAACAGCTGAGATTTATGGGTAATTTTTAAATGCAGTAATTGATAACTAATACATCTTTCCCATTACGGGGTGCAGGGGTGCTGACCTGTTTCCCGCAAACCAACTCATATCTTTGTTGAGCAGCTCAAAATAAACTGAAATTTCTTTTTCTGTATCTAAGTCAAGCAAGGTAATAAAATGAGTCAGACACCTGTGTTCAAATATCTTCCAATGCTGCTTCCTAGCTATAGCAAACTGGCCAAGTTATTTAACCTCTTTGGGCCCCATTTTCCACATTGCCAAGCAATGATGCAAAGAAAGGTGGGTACTTGGTGGGCACCTACAACTGGAGTTCCCTCTGGCCCCTTCCCAGTTCCTCATTCCCGTGCAGGAACTCCAGTTCCTCTTCCCATGCACTTTGCCCAGAGGCTGGGATTAAGACTAGGCTCCTTATCTTCTGTGCACTGGAGACAGAGGAGAAGACTAAGTTTCTCCTGGTCCTGGGGGGAGAGGAGAGCTTTGTGCAGGGGTGGCTTTACTGCTGGGAAGGTCCCAAGCACCTTTGCAGAATAGGGGTTGTGTGCACTGAGCAGGCTTGGGCTCCAGCCTAGTAATCTCACCGGCTGCTTTTCTGAGGGGAAAAGGTGCCTATGTTGCCACTTACTAGCCCCTGGCATATTAGAAAAACTGCTATTTCCAAGGTTTCCTCTATTTTCTCCCCTTTCTGCAAGCTTTCGTTCTCCCTCAATTTCCTTTCTCAAATTTAAAATTTTTATTATATATACATCTATATGTTTAAAGATTTGTTTTTATCGATATGCATACAAAACTGGGGTACAGGTCAGGAACAGGGGCCGTGAGAGGATTCACCAGAGACAGAGTGGGGAGCAGAACAGGCAGACTGACAAGTACACTGCTAAGGGGAGCAGCGGGTGGGTCAGGAGAGGTCTGCCACACCTTTCAGGTCAGTCATCTCTCTGGTCAGGGATAGAACTTCTGTTGAAGCAGCTGCAGCTGGCTTCACAGTGGTGGGCTTCAACCCGTTTGTGCCAGCAGGGAGGGCCCGCTAATTTTAATCACAAATACTTCGTGAAAAATATTGGCCAGCATTCCCTAAGAACTTACCAGCTGAGCTTCTGGGACTGTCAGGTGGCAGCACCATGTTATGAGAGCAGGTTCCCGAGGTGGCCTCATTATACTGCTGAGGCACCCAAGGAATTGGCTTTAAGTAAATGGCTCCAGGTCACACAGGCTTCAAGGTCAGTGCCTCACGTACACAGACTGTTCCAAGACTCTACTTATTTCATATTTTCTATTTAACCGTCCTTTTTACAAAGAGATCCACAAAACTGGGCGTGGCCCCGAGGTAACAGATTATAAAAATACATTTACATCAGTAAATACAACTAGAAACAGACCTTAAAATATAAGTTGTCCTCCAAGTATTTGGACGGCACTGGATCCTCCTACCAGAATGGCCTTCTTGTCTGTCCAGGTTTCTAAGGGCAGCTGTTGTGTGCCGCAGGCTCAGGTGATTATTTTTACCTTCCTAGAACCAAACACTCGACTTCCCTCACAGCCTCAGCAGCCCCTCCCAAGGCGAGTTGCACCCCGTTTCCTCCCACCCGGGTCTCCCTTTGCCCCACTCCCCATCCCCTCCCCACTACCAGCTCTTCCTAGGGCATCCACACCAACTCGCTGGTGCCGCCGGGCGCTTTTCTCATCTCATCTTCCGGGGCGGTGTCTCCCCCATTGGTCTTTCTACTGCCTCGGGGTCCTCTCAGGTAACCTCGTTACCCTCGCTTACAGATCCCCTTCTCCAGCCCGTCCCAGCTCCCTCCCAATCCCCCC